GAAGTTCTGAGTATTTTCAAATTTGTGTGCCTTTGCAACTGCATATATACTCCAAATACACACGTCTTTGAGAGATGGGAGTCTTTGAATACAGACTTTTAATTTTCTTCAACAAACTCTTTGCTCCAGTTAAATTCATCAAACCAACACATAAATATTCTCACTCACTCTCTGTATATATACATATGCATACACACATATATATGCCTATACATATATATGCATCTACATATATATGCACACAAACAGGAGCCAAACATGGTTGCCATTCGCCCCGTACCTTGCAATACGTTTTGCTTGCTTGTTCTTTTGTTTCAGACAAAAATAACGAGACCTTTTCTCCATCACATGTTCACAAAGGCACTGACAAGTGTTAGCGCAGGCTGGTACATGAACCAACAGTGACGGTCCGTGTACTCACATGAGTAGCACACAACCTTTAACACTTGTTTTGGGAGAGGAAAATGGTTTTGGTAGGTACCGAGCCCCATCATTTCTGCATCTCAGCAAAAAGTTAAGGCTTGAGAACCTGGTGGCTTATTAGGCGGGTTTCCACAACTCCCTGTGGGTGTATTTCAAAGTGCCGCATAACGGTCTAGGAAAGTCCCCAATAAATTACTCCGATGTTGTCTCAAAAGACAACATTCCCAGTCCAGTAGACAAAATTTAACAGCATTACTACTTTTATTTCAATATACCAAATCTTGGCTTTACTAAAACCAGCATGAAGTTCCTAGGCACTTAAAATCCTCTCTGGAGAAAAGTACTCTGTATTCCCTCACTGCCTAAAAAATATCATTGGGTCATACACAAAATAGAGACCATGTGATGAGACATTCAAAACCATATTGGACAAACTGTGTAAGCTGTGAAAAACGCGCTCCTCGCATTTCCAGAAATGATCCATGAAAGCTTCACCATCAAGTGGAAAGCGAGTTGTTTTCCAGCTCTAACACGTCACTCTTTCTTCTATGGTTCTTGCGCACGAAACAGGAACTGTGTTCAACGGCACCCAAGACCCCTCCTTTTACCACTTCTTTTTTTTTTTAAAAAATTGGAAATCACAACCCTGGAAGCATTTTGAGCACAAACCATTCTCACGGATGTCAAGGGGAGTTTTCAACTGACATCACCAAGACCTGAATTTTACCCCTTGTGTTTGACCACGTTTTGTGAAATGCCCAGCAAAATGGGGTTTTCCAAACAACTGTGACATTTGGATACCCCTTGCCCAGATAATAGTGAGAAAGGATTTAGATTTGGAGAATATCCATTTACATGTCCTCGATGCCACTTGACATGTTTTAAAATTCCAAGGAATAAATGCTCTTTCTCTTTCTCTCTAGAGCAGGGCAATGTCTGAAAGGGCAGAGGTGATATTTAATTTACCCTGGGCTAGGTGGACCTTTATTTTCTACAGACAAAATTTGACTTCTGAAGTAATTCACTAGTCTTTATTGCTATTTTTGAGAGAATATTTGTGAAGGAAGAATCTGTACATTTCAAAATTAAAACCTGTACTTGTTTCAAAGCATTTAACTAGTTTACATATACAAATTACTGTAGGGCTTTTATTCTTACATATGCCCCTTCCTGTGTAAGACTGCAGGCTTCCAGAGTTCTCCAGGTACAGAAACGTCTCTAGCCTACACACACACAGAGCCACTCAGCTTCACGCAAACAAAACCTTTCAATTAAAAAGCAGACCCTGCCTAAATAATGTGATCACAGCAGCAAGCTGAGCCCTGAGGGAGGTTGATCAAAGCCCAGGAAAACACACAGTCATTCCAAAAACCCCTAATTTCACCCACTGGAAAATACTAAAAAATACATCCAGGACATTGACTTTATTAAAAATTATGTCACATGCCGAAAGGTGCATAAATTTGATGTCATTTCTGCATAAGGAACTTAATGCCTGAAGGACTTTTTTCAGTTTTATCAGTCAATTTAAAAAAAAAAAAAAGGTATCTTCCTCTCCCTAAATCTTGTCCTGCGATTTCCCAGTATCATTTCCAGGCCAAGTGAGACTGTGCAGGTCAGTATTTTGGTACACACACGTTCATCTGGATGTTCAAAACACCCTACTCTCTCCTGTATTCTTCCACCTCCTCCCCTTTGCATCTGCTATTGCCTTTGTTATGCTTCTGATGACCTATATCTTATTCTAAATATACGCATGTATTAAATATGCCTGTGTGTATATAAATAGACACATACATACACACAATGTACAAACAAAAGTACATACAGAAAAATACATTAAATGCTTGAGATACATGTAGATTGGTTTCATGGAGTCACAGTTTGGAATCTCATAATACCTCAGCTTGGTTTTATAGAGATGTTCACCTCTCTCCACCTCACTTCCTCAAACTTCAAAGGCGCTAATACTAAGCACTTCTGAGAGTCAAGCCAAGAAAGCTTATTTATCAATCTAAACTTCAAAACCAATATTGCATTACCTTGGCATTAGAGTTCTGTTACCTCCTGTGTTAGCCTGAATCACCCCTAAGGTCAATATTCCAGTCTGTGATCAACATTAAGTTGCTTCCGCCAGTAAGTATTCAGCAAATGCAGAGTCATCCACATCTTTGACAGTAGAAAACTAGAACTATATATAGAAAAGTTAGCTTTTATCATTTTCTTTTAAGACAGTATGTAGCCAGCTCAAAAAATGAAACCAGCCCATAGGACACTGAGCATACATCCATCATTACAGTCTGTGTGAATTAGACGTGGAAGTCATTCAAATCATTTCAGTTCTGATCTTATTGTATCATTCGATTGACCTTTATTGCTTCCAGTGAATATCTTCATTACCTGTATCTGAACAGCAATTCACTCAGTTTGTAAAAATTTAAATTTACAGTGGTCACTTACCATAGCTTGCAATACGCACATGAATTTTCTCGCACCCTATCTGTGTATTATGTGCTGAATGACAACTTTTATTTAAAAAGGAATTCAAGAAATAAAATATTACAGGCATTAATAAAACTTTCTGAAGAATGACATAATAGTCCCATAAACCTTTACTGAGTTGAAAATGAAGTGATCTTTAAATCTCTTATTACTGTAATCAATAATCAAGTACTGTAAAATAACACATAAGCTAGGGAAATTAGGCTGGTAAATGAAGAAAATGTGATTTTTCTTGACAGGTAAGTCTAGTTGTTGTGGTTGTTGGAGCTTCTTCTAGTCATTAAGTCTGATAATATGTGTAACAAGGATTTACAAGAAAAAAACCCCACCTACTTTATTTTAAAAATAAATTTAGGTGATATCCAGTAATAAGTAGAAACTAAAGTTACTTTGAAAAGGATAACTAGATTAGAAACCACCAAGTGATCTGAAGGCTTGGGAACAGTTCACGTCATTCGTTAACATCACTTTGAATCACCAGTCACGCGGAGCCAGTTTCTTTTTTCTGACGCTCTTGCGGGGACGACCTTCATAAGTCTGTCCAGCAGGTGGCTTTGATCCCCTTTCGGACGTGTACAAACCCATCAAGTGAAGTCCCTTCACACAGAAAACCATCAGTGCTGCAGTAGAAAATTAGTGGCTACATTTAAGTCATTATTTGAAGCCCTCAGAGCTTCTAGAGCATCTCCCCTGGAAAATCCCATTTCCATAAGTCGCGCAACCTGGAAAAGAAATAACACTGCTTTAAAATCAGAGTTTTATTCACACTGTGTGAGCATTAGTCATGTTAACACTGTCAGAGATCACTTTTCCACTGATCATGCTGTTCAAAAGCTCACCTTTCCAGACAGTAAGCAGGCATGGCTATGCACCCCCACAAAGAGGTATCTGGGACAGCACGCTTGAAAACATTGCCACAGACAGAGATGACTGCTAGTTAATTCAAAACTAACTGTTTGCTGAAAATGACACACCTGTATTTTCCTAGCTGGGCCAGTTTTGGAAAAAGATTAAAATAGAAAGTATGGCACCACACATGACAACTACAATCTAAATATTCTCAAAACAGCGTGAGTCAATGACATTCGATGGAAAAATTACCTAGAAAAGGGCATATTAAGACAGTGATTTTGGTAATCAATAATCACTTTATTGTCCCTCTTTATAGTATCATGGACTCGACACCTAACCTTTTTCCCCTATGCTTACAGATACTCAAATTACCATATATAAAAAGCAATGTAGGTATAACCAGATTTTATCTAAATTGGTTAAATTCCAATCTAAAGTACATTTAACACATACAATTCTCAATTACATATGACTGAATATCATATAAATCATTCCCTTTCATACTTAATCTTCCAGAGAGGGGAAAAACAAGACATGGGGGGGGGCAGGAGGCAGCAGAGAGCTGCATGTAAAATTAACTGCGGCCACTGGTAGCACAAACTATTCCCCATCCTGCTCCAAATGGCCTGTGACCCAACACCACAGCTCCTGAACCTGGAAGTTCTGGGCTACAGGAGCTGTCTGGGAGCTACCGCTGCTCCTCTTCTGCTTGTACAGAGTCTGCAGCAGCAGAACGCAGCTGAGCAGGAACGCAGCAGAGGCCGTTTACATCTCAGGAGGAGTCTTCCCAGGGTGCAAGAGCAACGTGCACTAGTGTTGAAAGTACTTCAAATGCCTTTTAAGAGAAAGGTGCCATTAAAAGCAACCTCCCCTTCCTCCAAGACCTCTCCAGAACTTTCAGTATTTTTCATCTTCTCTGCTTCGGCAGCTTACTGAGAAACACACTACTGCCAAATATGCCCAGAGGTGGGGGTCCTCATTCTCTTAATCTAAACACAACATTACAAAAAGTTTGAAAACGTCTGCCTTGGCTGTCACAATATCAAATATGGTACCGATCATTTTGTGCATTTCCCTCTTTTCCCCCCTTACAACCCAATGTCGGTTTCTCACCTTCTTGTAGAGAGGGGAATGAACTGCTGCATTTGACACCGCTGCAACAATAGTGCGACTTCAAACCGGATTTCGTAACCCGTAACTTTCTAAAGTTTCCTCTGTCTGACTTTTCATCTAAGACTCTGTTTCTTATGAGAAAAAGGGCAGGCAGTGGAATAAAAGCTAACCACAGAAATAAATTTCAGAAGAAAGTTTTTACTGTAGTTGCCATGAATTCGAACCTTAAGAAGTGGTGGATGGAATTGTAATGTTCCCAGCGAGCATCACGGGGAACAGACTGTAACAACAAAAAGCTCTTTTCATCTGAGTGTATTTTAACCACAGGAACTGAATCCAGCTCCAGGAAACGGAGATGTATACTGGTAACGGTAATTTAAGGTGCTAAAAAACCCACAAGAAATGCAGAGATTTTTGTACCAAAAGCATTGCAACTGCTTGCAAATATTAATCTGAAGAACAGAAGAAAACCTTGTATTTCTGCCATTCTAAGACAACTTGTGCAGGTATTAGCGTAGCCCTGAGAAATCAAAGGTGCTTAGATTACTTTTTTCTTTGCAGGGTAACTAGACAGCATTGCAAATGACAGCAATCGGGTGAGCTCTACAACTTCAATGCATGAGAAAATATAAGCACATATTGCTTTCATAAATCTGGGCCTAAAGGCTTTGGGTAAGAATCCAGCACAAACCAGACTAATAACTATTTCATTAGTTCCAGCCCAACATTTAAAGTTCCCACAAGCAGAATCTGTCAATACAACAAATAAACAAACCAACCCAGCAGGTAAACCTTTGGTTCACCCCATACCTGGCACTGCGTGGCTTTCAGGCTGGCCAAAACTAAGTTTCTGGATTTCTGGGTCTCAGAAGGTGTTCTTTCGTGTGGGGTTGTTTGGTTTTTTTTTGGTGGTGGTGGTGTGGGTTTTTTTGGTTTTTTTTTTTTTGTTGTTGTTGTTTGGGGTTTTTTTTTCCACTTTTCAGATGTAGCCCAGCAGGTTTGCAGTTAAAACCACCAATGTAGTTACAGTTTTGAATATTTTGAACATAATCTAACATTGAAATAAAACTAGATATCAGATCATAGCAAAGATTTCTGTTTGGGATGATCTCATTTTAAACTAACTAGAAATGACAGCATGGTGCTACCAAGTGTTGATTTATCTCCCAGCAAAAGGGAAAGAAAAACTCACCCTCGAAAGCTACTCTCGTTCAAGGGTAGCAGAGACCTTAGACTATAATATGGCCAAATGCAGGTAACTGCAGACAGGCTACAAGCTGGAGAACCTCGTTGCATGCAATAAATCCTGAATACAGAAATAAAACTAATCTTGAATTCTTAAATTTCCTATTAAATCTTCCTCTCTTTTGAGAATAAAACTATCAACAAAAGCCTAAAAGACTACAACTATACAGTAAGTCTAAATCTATAGTTGGTAGAAAAGACACAATCTTCTCTGTGGCATCAGTATGTGAAACCAGTGAACCCCATTATTGAAGGAAATATCCAAGTTTTACACCACGTGTGTGTTGCAGACCACAGCTGGTGTAACATTTTTATTTCCAAAAAATTACATGACTGAATTGGAAACTTAAGCTGGAGACCTCAGTGAAGGAAAACTCGTGTGTCTACAAGATAAATAATGAAATCTGTCATTCTTGCTTCTTTGAAACATTTATTTTATCAGATTTGAATAGCCCCCACTAGCAAAACTAATCTTTAAGTACAAAAGACAGTTACACATAAAAGCAGAAACTCCAAGTCGATCTGTAAGTCTGATTTGGATGACAATGACAATTCAGTGTCTCTGTATTGTGACTGTTATCTGATATTCTAATTTATGCTGCTACAGAGAATGTTTAAGAAACTATGTCAACAGATGATAAAATAACAGTAGAGGTAATTCCTAACCATTTTTTTAATGCCATTTTAAAATAGAGAAAAGTTTACCTGCTCTTCAGAAACCTCAGTAGGTGGAGGTGTGCCTTGTTCAGATGGGCGATGATCTTGATAATTCGCATTATGTCTATGACGTAAAGGAGGAAACAGTCTATTCCAGTTAATCATCCCACCCTGAAACCAGACATTGCTGTCAGTCTTTGCAAAAAGAACTACAGATATGTTTAAAGACAAAGGTCATCCATCCCACATAATATGAAAGGCAAACGTTTGAGTAAAATACTTCATTTTAAACAACAAAAACTGCTGCACAGTCTCTTATGAACTCAAAACTGGGACTGGTTACTGCTTTATTAGTTATTAGAAGTAATCACTGTAAATTACGGAATCACAGGTGATTAAGAGTCTTACAAGAACAACAGTGCCTAGGTCACCACACCAGTAACATCATATAGGCTAAGACTGTCTGGTAGCAGTATCAGAAATGCCAAATTCAGGTACGGTAGCAAATGCTGTAAGTGTAGCAAAACAGGGACCAATTGGGGAAAAAGTAACTAGGCGTGGGTGGCTTATCTAGGAGGAGGAAAGGATGTTTCACATCCATTGCAAAAGATTTAGTTTACTAGAGTGCTGGATTTCCGAGGCTGAAGGCGCTGCACTCTCTGCCAAGAGGGATTTGCCTGGCAAGAGACGCAACAGTGGATCCCACAAGTGCTTTGCAAGACTGCTGCTGGAGTCAACCAGGGAATAAAAAGGCAAGAAATAAGTTGAGGGGAAAAGCAAAAAAGGATTCTCAGCGCATCAGCAAAACCACATCAGGAGACTCGGAACAAATCCAACCTTCAGGACTGTGATTGCCGTGTAAGTCATTAATTCTGTGACATCAACGCGACTGTTACAGACACACAGACCACCTCACCTAACTTCTGCGTATTAAATACCATTGCAAAATCTGGCCGTATTCCAGTGCCAAAACATTTTGTAACTACATAGTAATAATACAGATACACAGCAGTAACGTATGGTGTAAATCACAGAACTGAAACTTTCTTTCAACAGCCAAGCTGCAAGTCTTGTAATAATGTTTACAACAGAAAGTACGAATACTCAAGTACAAGCCTTATAATAGTCCATAAATAATCCATCTTCATTTTATTAGCTTAAACAGACATTTTTGAAGGGATTTTGTATCACACCAAAACTACAGGCCCTGCAAGTGGGGAAGAAGAGCAAACCCCAAATCTCTTTTCTATACAATTTGTTCAAACATCTTTTGCAGCTTGTATTGTCCTTTTCCTCCTCCTCTGCTCCCCCTGTTACTATGGAGAAGATCCCCCCTCCCTTTCTGTATATATAGGACACAGACTTCCTTCCTCTAGTTGCTCTATTTTAGCTGTATATTGTCGTTTCTCAGAAGACCTTCCTCTTAAGCGAGTTTTTTCTTTTCTCTCTCCGTGAGGGCTCTTCCTGCCTTTATGTACCCCTAGAGCATTAAACACTGTCCGCTCAATCACAGCAGCAGCAACTAAACCTGCTCCTAGACAAAAAAAAAAAATAATAAAATCCATTTATTTAGTTTGCCTGCCCTTTCCTTTGTTTTCTTCCTTTCTCTCCGGAGTAGACCCAACCAGCCCAGACACCACAGGGGGCAGTGTAATAGCACACTTAAAAGCACTTGGGGAATCATGAGATTTGAAACTCTAGCTTGTAAAGTGTCCCAGTTCCTTATATACTACAGCCCGTTTTTCCCTGTGAAGATGTGCAATTGCTAGGAGTCATCATTGGTTTTCAAGACGTAACTTCCACCCTTAGTGATTTTGAATTTAAAAAATGATTACGTATCTACATTTCTATTTTTTTGCACTGTATAAAACATTTGCTTACAAGTCATGAGGTTTTAACCAAAGGATTCTGTATAACCTTGCGTTAGCCGAACAGCATAGTGTAGTAAAAAGGAGAATTGGTTTGTAGTTTAAACGCAGAGAGGGATCTCAGACCTACTGACACTACTGCACTACTCTGAGGTCTTGGAAAATCACAAGTCCTGTACTTCCCCATCTATAATTTCCCCCAGCTCAGAATTACTTTAAGTTTTAATTCATTAACTTTGAATTTCCAAAAGTCTACTAAGTTCTATAGTTCAGCAATAATGCTGCACTAATGCTGCTTTGCCTGTTTTTATTCTTTTGAAAAGACCTGAGGGGGAGAAAATAATGCCTCCAAGGGTCATTCACATTAAATTGGCAAACTGAAAAATGCTTACAGGACTATGACACATTTCTTTGTCAGAAGTCATATAGAATAATGTGTACAAAATATAAATTCTACAATAAATGATTTAATTTAGCAGTATTCCAGTGTGTCTCAAGACTGAAATAAACACACTTTTCCAGCTGCGCCCTCAGCTTCACTACTGAACCAAACTATTCCAGTTTGGTTTGGCATCTTCTCTCTCGTGTGCGCTGTCACATAACAATACAAAGAGACTTGTTTACCTCCTTACCCTAAACTTACAACGCATTTTAACTTAATGCATACAGAATTCATTACTTTCAGTAGAAAAAAAAAATGCAGATTCCTTACTAAGTTAACTATTTAGTTTTGAAGATTTACAGCAGGTATCTTGATAAACTATAGATACAGACTGATGTATTCAGAAGAGTTCCATGTGAAGACTACTAACCCTTTCCCAGAATTAAGAAACCAGACAAATTAGATCAAAATAGTTGTGAAAAGATCTTTTTCAGATGCCCTCAAAATATTTCAATTCCTTTTGAAAACTGTGACAAACATAACATATCAGTTCTTAACTATATATCTGAGGTAACAATATCCAACATACAACAAGTACTGAAGGCTGAAACCCTTAATGGTATGTGAACACTGATGATTAAGGTTAATCCTAACATTATGGTCCACTTCTCATCCATATATTGCCTTACAAACTGCACCAAAACCAGGCACATTAGGCTTCTTTACCTTGACTGCAAGAATCATAGAATCATAGAATGGTTTAGACTGGAAAGGACCTTAAAGATCACCGAGTTCCAACCCCCCCTGTCATGGGCAGGGACACCTCCCGCTATACCAGGTTGCCCAAGGCCACGTCCAGCCTGGCCTTGAACACCCCCAGGGATGGGGCCTCAACAACCTCTCTGGGCAACCTGTTCCAGTGCCTCACCACCCTGGGAGTGAAAAACTTCTTCCCAATGTTTAATCTAAACCTGCCCTCTTCCAGTTTAAAGCCATTCCCCCTCATCCTGTCACTACATGCCCTAGTAAAAAGTCCTTCCCCAGCTCTCCTGGAGGCCCCCTTCAGGGACTGGAAGGCCGCAGTAAGATCTCCCCGGAGCCTTCTCTTCTCCAGGCTGAACAGCCCCAACTCTCTCAGCCTCTCCTCATAGGAGAGGTGCTCCAGCCCTCGGATCATCCTCGTGGCTCTCCTCCGGACACGCTCCAACAGGTCCATGTCCTTGTTGGCCTTCTGGGCTGCGATTGCACATTGCTGACTCATGCTGAGCTTCTGGTCAATCAGCACACCCAGGTCCCTCTCCTCAGAGCCACTCTCCAGCCATTCCCCGCTGAGCCTGTATTTGTGCTTGGGATTGCCCCGACCCAGATGTAGGACCTTGCACTTGGCCTTGTTGAACTGCATGAGGTTGGCTTGGGCCCACCTCTCCAGCCTGTCCAGGTCCCTCTGGATGGCATCCCTCCCCTCCAGCATGTCTACCTTGCCAAACAGCTTGGTATCATTGGCAAACTTGCTGAGGGTGCACTCGACCCCACTGTCCATGTCCGCAACAAAGATGTTGAACAGTACAGGTCCCAGTACCAACCCCTGAGGAACGCCACTCGTCACTGCTCTCCACTTGGACATTGAGCCATTGACCGCAACTCTTTGAGTGCGACCTTCCAGCCAGTTCCTTATCTACTGAGTGGTCCATTTGTTGAATCCATGTCTCTTCAATTTAGAGACCAGGATATCGTGTGGGATGGTGTCAAATGCTTTGGACAAGTCCAGGTAGATGACATCTGTTGATCTTCCCTTGTCCACTGATGCTGTAACCCCTTCGTAGAAGGCCACCAAATTTGTCAGGCAAGACTTGCCCTTGGTGAAACCATGCTGGCTGTCACCAATCACCTCTTTGTTATCTATGTGCCTCAGCAGAGTTTCCAGGAGGTTCTGCTCCATGATCTTGCCAGGCACAGAGGTGAGACTGACTGGCCTGTAGTTCCCCGGGTCTTCCTTCTTTCCCTTTTTGAAAATAGGGGTTATGTTTGCTCTTTTCCAGTCGGCAGGTGGAAAATTGTTTCCCCTCACAGACTTGCCTCTCACTACATAATGGACACACACAAAGTCAGGCTCAAAAAAGCAGAGATTCAGGGAACTGAAGTGAGAACTATGGGACTGGTATTGGGGCCAATCCCATACAGTAAAGGTAAGGAAGAATTAGGAAGGGTAGCTAATGTCTCCAGTCCACAGAGACGGAGAGCAAGGCTATGGATTTCCAGTATGGATGGTGACTGTGTAAAGACTTTCAGACAACCTTAACTATCACAGCAGAAATAATTTTAATTTGACCCAAAGCAAACAGCAAAAGATGTCTTAAATTAAGTAACCATTGCAGATTCCAGTTAAAAAAAATGTGCAGAAGGAGATTTCCAGACCAGCATTCCACCTTGCTCACAGAAACTATTTTGTTTCTCCCCTTTGGAATTTTATGACTGTGCTAACACACTTACGCTGTAAGAAGTCATGAAGATTTCACATGAAGATATCCAACCTGATGAATTTATTTAAGTGATGCTTCTAAACCATCTGAGAGTCCCTCCTGGGGAATCAGCAAACAATATTTATGCATCTGAGAATATACTTGAGGCCTGGCACCAGCACCCAACAGCACAGATGAGCTCGTACCCACCTCCTTAGCCTCCACAGGGGCCTTGTCTCAGGTAACACAGCTCTCCGGAGTGGTTCAAAACAGAGGCAGAAAAGGAGCCAATAATTAAGCAGCGAGGATGATCAAGGGTCCAGTATGTAAGCTCCTTTCCTGCGCAGCACCTTCAGTGACAACTGTCTGCCAGTCTAATCCATTAAATGAAATCCAGGCAGTTCTTCTGCTATTCTGGTTTGTTGGTTTGTTATAAAAAGAATTAAATTTAATACTAAGTGG